TGGGGCCTCAGGCCTGGGTTGGGGGCTGAACCAGTCATGGGGGGAAATGAGGGTCCCCTGCCCAGGCCTGACGCCCCTGTCAGAGGAGTCAGGCCTTGGCAAGGGGCCGATCCTGCGATTGGAGGGTGATGGGGGTCAAGCCCGGAGGGATCCCAGTATGTGAGAGGGGGCAGGCTGGCCTGAGGGACCCCCCCCCCACACACACATCCAGTGCACGAATTTCGTGCACCGGGCCCCTAGTATTTATATAATAGTATAAGTAATTTTTCTTAGTAATGTTAAAATTCTTCAGAAATTTTATGCTAGAAATGAATTCAAGTGTTTCTCTTAACAGAGTCTCAATATAGTCTCACTACCTCAAGGAATATATTGCTTTGAGATCCTAAAATGGAAATAATTATGAACTGGTATTATACAAATAGAATAAAGGAAGTGAAAATACCACTTTTTCAAGGATATGTACATTCCAGTTCATTTATTAACAATTCATTTTTTCTTCTTTAGCTTATAAAAAAAGGGGGAATATGATTTCCCCCAAATGGGTTTTTTAAAGAATTTTATTAACCAGAGACATTAATAGAAGGCAGATACTTTATTTGGATTTATTCTGAAGGGGGAAAATGCCTTTATATTCATTACATCCTAAAGGTTTATTTTTAATAGTACCTTTAAAGCCACTCAGTCCAATAGGACGTTCTGCAGTGGTGGAAAGACTATCTGTGCTATTCAGGACAGTAGTTAGTAGCCACAAGTGCCTACTGAGCACTTGAAATGTGGAACTGAATTTTAAAGTTTATTAAGCTTTAATTTAAGTAACTCCATGTGATTACACGTGACAGTATACTCTAAAGCATGATTCAGCATAATTGCTCTTATCTAAAAGCAATTCAGTAAAATATTTATCTTACAAAGTGTACATGTCAACGGTTAGTTAAAAATTCTAAGCTGCATATGAAAAATCAGATGTTAGAGGAGGCTCTGACATATGGCTGAGTTGTTTGTTTGTTTTTTTAATATATATTTTAATGATTTCAGAGAGGAAGGGAGAGAGAGAGATAGAAACACCAATGATGAGAATCATTAATTGGCTGCCTCATGCATGCCCCCTGTTGGGGGTCAAGCAGACAACCTGGGCATGTGCCCTGACCAGGAATTGAACTGTGACCTGGTTCATAGGTTGATGCTCAGTCACAGAGCCACACCAGCTGGGTGACATATGGCTATTTTAACAACGATACAGATCTTTTCATGGGCCCTTCCTCATTGCAGAGCCCACGTGAGTTCTGTGTAAGTTGTGGAGAAGGGGAAGAGTTAGTTTCCTTGGTTTTGGTTATAGTTTACTCTTGTTTATTTTTTCCACCTCCTCACTGTATTCCAGAGTGAAGATGAGCGTTTTAGGATGTTTAGAGATTTCAGCAAATGAGACACACTGTAATTGTCATGAGTGAGGGCAGCATGTTAGGAAGTCACAGATCATTTTGGATGAAATCTCTGTCTAACTTAGCAGATCTTAGAAATAATAGCCATTTGATTTCTTTCTTCCACCTCCTAAAAGACTACCATGCTTAAAATACAAACCAATGTTATGCTTGAAGTTTAGAAAAAATAAAAGGTCATCTGTCGTTAATGGACTTGGAGATTGCCCAAGCCTTATGATTACCCATTTTACAGATGAAGAAACCAGAGCCAGAGAGTTTAGCTTCACCAAGGTCTCACCAGTGTTTGGGGACGATGATTTCACTGTGGCTTTTAAAATCTTTATAGTAGTTTTAAGCAGAATGGGTGTGTGTGTGTGTGTGTGTGTGTGTGTGTGTGTATTTTGCATATATTTAGAAATATGTAGACATGATAGTATCTTATATAAAGAGAATTATAAAAATCACATCTTTTTAAAAATAATATATTTTTATTGATTTCAGAGAGGAAGGGAAAAGGAGAGAGAGAGAGAGACATCAATGATGAGAGAATCATTGATTTGCTGCCTCCTGCACACTCCTCACTGGGGATCGAGCCTGCAACCTGGGCATGTGTCCTGCCTGGGAATCGAACTATGACCTGGTTCATAGTTCAATAATGCTCAACGACTAAGCCTCGCTGGCCTGGCTAAAAATCATATCTTTTGAACAACATGGAAATACGGTCCATTTTCAAATGTGGTACCTTTACCTCCTGATAACAGGAGTCCCACTATGTAGGTGTGTGTTTTTTGCCATTTAATCTTTTTTAATTGCAGTTGACATACAGCATTATATTAGTTTCAGGTTTAGCTTTAGGTGTACACCCAGTTAGACATCATATAATTTACTAAGTGACTAGACAATATATAACTTATTAAGTGATTAGATAATATATAATTTAAGTGATTAGACATATAACTTAGTAAGTGATTAGACATTATATAACTTGCTAAGTGATCATCTTAATAAATCTTGTACCCTTCTGACACCATATGTAGTTATTAGCATATTATTGACTACATTCCCTATGCTGTACTTTACATCACTGTCTATTCTGTAACTACCAATTTGTACTTCTTAATCCCTTTACCTTTTGCACCCATTGCCCCAATTCCCCTGCCATCTGGCAACTGTCAAAATATTCTCTGTATTTATGAGTCTGTTTCGGTTCTGCTTGTTATTTTGTTTTTGTTTTGTTAGATTGAATTGTTGATAGATGTCTATTTATTGCCATTTTATTGTTCATATTTTTGTCTCTTCTACTTCTTCAAGAAGACACTTTAACATTTCATATAATACTGGTTTGGTGGTGATGAACTCCTTTAGCTTTTTCTTGTCTGGGAAGCTCTTTATCTGTCTTTCGATTCTGAATGATAGCTTTGCTGGGTAGAGTAATCTTGGTTGTAGGTTCTTGCTTTCCATCACTTAGAATATTTCTTGCCACTATCTTCTGGGAGTGTGTTTATTTTTAATGCCAGCAAATTTCTATTTGGAAATTAATATGTACTTCCATTTCTAAGGATAAGTCTTTTGCCAAAATGGGAAATATAAGCTTTTTAAATTTACAAAAACTTGAATTTCCAAATCTTTCACAGCCAGAGGGAATTGATGCAGTTTATACTAATTGTACTAATATTTCCTCAGGTAAACACAAAATCTATAAGAGGATAGCCGTTAGCTTAAGTAAATTATTAGATTTGCTAAGTTATAAGCTGTGAGATTTTCACATAATGTTTCCACATTTACTTAGGTGGGTTAAGGTAGTCAATAGGCTTATGGTTACCCTCTCGAGCAACTCCAAAACAAGACAAGGTTATTGCTACTGCTGTGTTGACTGTTCGAGTTACTTCCTCTGGTGTCTTCCCCAGAGATGGATTCACTTCCATTATGTCTAATCCTGACAGTAGTCCTACAACAACAAGTGGAAATAAAGTAATTGTTAAATAATTAACATTTTAAATTTAGTATCTCTGAAATGTTACTCAGTAGTGTAATGAGGGGGGTAACCAACTGAAACCACTTTGGTTACTGCATCATGCAGTGGGCATTCTGGAAGTGTCAACAGGGGCTTGATTTTCAGACCAGGAAGTCTCTATAATAAAATAGCGTAATATGCAAATCGACTGAACAGCTGAACAGCAGAATGACTATCCAGACAACCATGCTATGACACCCACTGGTGCTAGGTCAGCCAAGGCGGGTGCGATGCAATTGGTCGGGGGCCCGGCCATTTCCCCATGATCACCCTGCATAGGGAGGCCCAGGCCACCGGCCAGCGGGGCGATCAATCAGGGGGCTCCACAATCGCCCTGCAGACTGACTGGCTGAAGCGGGTGGGCAGGGACTCCCTCTGAGGGGGGCGATCATCGCAGAGCCCTGGCCAGGTGGGCAGGGCCTACCTCTTTGGGGCGATGCTCCATGATCAATTGCCCCAAAGAGGGAGGCCCAGGCTACCCAGCCGCTGCAGCAGGTAGCCTGGGCCTCCCTCTGCTGGGGCGATCCATCGCAGAGCCCCGGGCAGGTGGGCGGGGCCTACCTCTTTGGGGCAATCAATCGCGGGTCTCCCGGAATGTGAGAGGGCACAGGCTGGGCTGAGGGATCCCCCACTCCCCAGTGCAGGAATTTCGTGCACCAGGCCTCTAGTAAGTATATATTGGCCATGTGTACACTTGATTCTTTATTCACTTAGATTTATATGTACCTGTTTTGAAAATTTCTTCTGTAATGTAGAGACCTTCTCTGTAAGTCAGACCCCCGATGACTGGTGTGCCAGTAGCTGGTGTGACAGATGGGTCCAATCCATCAACATCATAGCTCAGATGAATTGGCCTTTTCTTTCTTTTAAAAAGAAGGAAAGTAATTCAAGTTAAAGTTGGTGGCTTATTATTTAGTAGATAAATATAGTTCTTACTTTGCTCTGTAAAAAGGAACAACCTAGTGAAGTTCCATGATTTTACATAAAGGCTTTATTAATAGCTTACATTGATTAGTACCAGTAGCTAGTTGGTTTAACAATATTTATGTTGCATACACAAACGTCATACCTTCCTAGTAGATAACTGAATGTTTCTTCCATCACCTTGCCAATTCCCAGCTTGTCCACTTCAGTCATTGAAAAGTATTTAATACCGAGAGTTTTCAAAAGGTAGCTATGAAAGAGGAGATAGTAAGATAACTTACAATTAACATGAAGGCTGACTCTGCCCTCCCGTCTCCTTTTAAGAAAAGATCAATGTGCTAAGATACATAAAATATTTAAGTTCTGTGAACTCAATGTATATATCATCAATATATTTTTATCAGCAAGTCAATATAAGAATCATTTGAATATATACATATATGTGTATGTACAAATATATATATATATATTTGGTACTTAAAATAATTTTTTACCATAGGTTTGGTCACTGCACCTAGCATGCAAAAGGACAAACGTGAAGGTAAACTGCATCAAGGAATAAACTTACTGTTCCCCAGGGTCCACATCTCTCAGGCCAATATACACAATATCTTTGGCAGTTATGCAGGGTGTCACCCAGGAGAATCCTGGTACATCAGGGATCTAAAATGGCAATTTTCCATTTGGTTATGTATACTTCTCTTGAGCAAATCTTACATGGAAAGTTAAGTACACTGTTGGATATATCTTATATTTAGAACATGCATTTTTAGGAGTCGTTAAAAGATGATACAGAACAAACAAGAGAATGCCTGCCTCCCCTGGTGGTCCCCTTGATTGCTTTGGCCCTACCCAGACTCACCCTGTAGCCCAGACCTAACCCGAACCATTTGTGCACCATTTCCATTGGGCCCTGCTTTCACAGAACTCTTCTGTAAGGAAGTCAGTGTACTTCCATTACTTTCATCCCTTCTTTGCTTCTCTTTCTTAATGAGGACTTAATCCAAAAGATGTATTTCAGTGGCTGAAGGAAAATTTTTGCCCAACCCTTTGGTTGCTCTTTGAATGTTGTGGAGTTGAGCTTGGCTGTTTCCGTATGCTAGCTGCACATATTGCAAGTGTATACACCTATCAGTTGGTTGTCACTTCAGAAAACGTTACTTCTGGGCATTAAACCTAACATTCCCAGGTATCATAAAGACCACTATGCTACAGGTACATTAATAAAAATTATTTTATTGACATACTACAGATATATCCATAAAATTTATGAATCACAATGTTAAATCTTAATATGGGATTTCCTCTTACATCTTTTAGAAAGTAAGTTTCTAGGGAGCAAGTAGGCAGTTCTGTTTATGGTTTAGATAGGTGCTCCTCACAGTAAAGATGTTAAATAAACCATTGTGAGCCGCATTTTTTTTTTAATTTTTTTTTTAAATATATTTTATTGATATATAAATATATTTTTATAGAGAGGAAGGGAGAGCGATAGAGAGTTAGAAACATCGATGAGAGAGAAACATGGATCAGCTGCCTCCTGCACATCTCCTACTGGGGATGTGCCCACAACCCAGGTACATGCCCTTGACCGGAATCGAACCTGGTACCTTTCAGTCCACAGGCCGACGCTCTATCCACTGAGCTAAACCGGTTTCGGCTGTGAGCCGCATTTTAAGAATTCCGTTTTTGAAAAGGCCCTATGATCTGGAGGGGATACTTGGTAACAACGAAAGGCTGTGTGGCATGTAATAGAAAGAGGTTGGCACTAGGGGACCAGTTCTGGCTCTCGCCTGGTGTGTGATCTTAGATGAGTTGGTTAACATCTGAACCTCTGCTGACTTGCTTAGGATTATTCTCTGCTCCACCTAAAAAGGGTAGTTTAAGAATCAAAAGGGAAGATACAAGGTCAATTTGCCTCACCACCTTGATCCTCCAACCCTTTTGCTTATCTGCTGCCAAGAAAAGAGTTTGAGATTATACCAAGAATAAGATGGCAGAGGGGTTCTTACTTCCCTCCACCTCCTGAACTTATGCTAAAGATTATTATCCTATCTAATAAAAGAGTAGTATGCAAATTAACAGTCACTCCACAACAAAGATGGCAGCGCCCATAGCAGCCAGGGCAGGACGCTGGCAGCATCACCCCGGCAACGTGAGCCCAGCAGGCAACTGAGGCCCGCAGGCAGCACCCAGCAGGGCCTGCTTGCCCATCGCCATGGTGTGGAGCAGGCAGGCCCTGCAGAGAGCAGAGAACCATGGGGAGTGGGCCCAAGCCATCAGTAGGACATCTCAGATTGGAGAGGGTGCAGGTAAGGCTGAGGGACCACCCGCCCTTCCCCTCCCCATCCCCCGTGCATCAGTTTCGTGCACTGGGCCTCTAGTTTTGTAATAAAATGCCAACCAGTCTCTTACCTTCCCCTTTAGTTCCTTCAGGAGGAAAGACACAGGCTGTCCATGCAAGTTCCCACTTGAGGTTGTCTGTGGAGTGTTGATATCAGTGTGAGCGTCCACCCAAATGACACAGAGATCCGGGTGGACCCTGGCATGGCCAGAGATGCTCCCAATCGCTAAACTTTAGAGGAAAAAGTTTGTGTGAGCATCAGAGTTGCAATAGCTTTACATACATCATATTATTAACTCACTTAATGCTCATACTTGATTTTCCTTTAAATCAAAGCAGCTGATATTTCTCATAGTTTTAAATCAGAGATGCCAATTAAACAATTGTAATGGAGAAAGTAGAACTTACACTTAATAGTTACTAAGAAGTTATAGTTACACAGAGGTAGCACTAATTTGTGATACTTTTCAAAACCACCTTCTAATAAAATTGTAAATTATAGTTTCACCAAAAACTAAATGTGTGAAAACACTACCACACAAGGAATTTCTTAGCATGAGACTATTCCACTTTCAGGGTTGAATCAGGCTTATTTTTTGCACTCTCATTTCTCCAGGTAGATACTTCATTCTCCCCAGTGAGTCATGACAGAGCCCTTCCATTTTTCTTAAAAACCAATTGTTATACAATTGGAGAGCATGACACAGAAGCCCTTACATCCACCTGAGTGAGCATATCCCAGGTGCTCACTCTATTCAAACAATCAGATCCTCTGCTTGAACTTCCTCCTCTCCTGCCACACCCGTAAGGACCCACTCTTAGCCAGGTCCAGAACCTCCAAGTTCACATCAGGCACTTCAAGCTCCAGAAAATGTGCCTGAGTGGAACAGCTATGTGATCTCTTACACAAAAGTTAAAAGATTAGGATTGGCCGTACAATGCCCTATTTTCCCACCAGTGAATGTTTTTGAGTACCATTCAGAGAATCGTGAACTTCTCGATTCTCAAAGTGGAAGTGATTGTGTCTCTCTCTCTAAAAAAATCAATAAACTAGTCTTTAAAGAATAAAGAGGCTAATGCCCAGAAATTTGCCACATTATTTGTAATTTTGAAAATTACTTGAATATTGGACAATATATATAATACTTTAATGAAAAATTATGCAACAGTAAAAATACGTTTATATATCATGAAGTAAAGATAAGGACATTTCAACTGTGGATTAAGAACAGCAGGATAATACACACACACACACATACACACACACACACGTAATTGTTAAAATCATGTCTGAGGGAAATTCTGGTTGAAATGGTTGTGAGGAGACTACAATTATCACTGGTTGTTGTTGGGTTTTTGTTTTTGTTTTTCACTTTTACATGTGTGTGTGTATTTCAAAAAACTTTATAATTATAACTCTTATAATGGAAAACACTTTTAAATGTTGACCTAAATGGGCTGTTCCTATTATCAGCAACCAAGCACAATAAGTTGACTGTAAATTTTCTCAGCGCTTATTTATTTAGAAATGTAACCCTGTGCTGAATATTTTACTGAGATTCATTCACACTTAATGTATTTTCTGCTGTAATAAAGATAACTCAAGACTTCAAATAGAGCTAAGTGTGTTTCCAAAATAAAGTAGTAACCGGTAATATTTTTTAAGCAGAAAACGTGATATAAACGATTGATCAGTGCTTTCCCTTCCATATGTTCTCTCTTCGCATGATTTTGGTTAAACCTTCATGCCATTTGTGCCGATCACGCATAGCCCTTCATTACAGTACCTGTGGTCGCCACCCAGCACCACGCTGACCCTTCCGTTTTTCTTGGCTTCTGCCACCACGCCAGCCAGCTGCTCATTCGCTTTTCCCACAGACCTTGGATTCTTCACAATTTGAAATGGACTGTCATTAGGGACATCAGCAAAGGGCAGGTCCCCATAATCTTTCACATCACACTCTATAGTTAAGATTAAAAGTTGCAAGTTACTAAATAAAGATCACAAAACAGTCTCTGCAAGATGATTGTAAATGTACAAAATAGGTCTATTTTCTAAAGTATAAGCGCAGAAAGACTCTGAACAGACTGAAAATTGTGAAGGTAGAAACCACATCTGCTTTTGCCTGACATCATCTCACCTGGGCTCCCACCAGTGCCTGCTGTATGCTGGGTTCTCAGGAAATCCTTGAACCCACCAGTTAGGCTATAAGCACAACAGGTTGACCTGGTTTGGATTTAATGGGTGATGTCATTGTCTTTGTGTCTGTGCTCATGTGCTTTCTACTTTTCTACAATATGCCTGTATTGTATTTATAGTAAATAAATCATATTTAAAAAGAAGAAAATACACCATTATTTTGTTAACAATCCTCAGTTTCAATCCAATCTGTCACCTGCTGAAGCAGTCCCGCTCCCTCTTCTGTCCATTGTACCTGCCTCACAGGGCTATTGTCAGGATTCAATAGGAGTATGTGATTACCATCAGTCCTAACACTTCAGTAAGCCAGGAAATAAAGACTTTATTATTATACTTTTCCAATAAGGTAACCCAAAGTTCCTAAGGACCTCGGTGCACTTCCTAAAAGGCCATGCATTATGCCTCAAGGTACAGAGCTTCTTGTAAAACGGTGATCCGGGCTTAATTCCATGTTCTGAACTAAGCAGTCATTGTGTGTGGTATTCATTCATGTCTATATGTATCTGTGATTCAGTAATGCCTTCAAGAGATTTAACATGACATTAAATGTGGCCAAATTATGCTTGTTAACTGACCAACTAGTCCACTTCATTTACCCAGACTTCCTGTTCTCTACTGGGGTCTCTCTCTTTCTTTTCTTAGATTTATGATGCATAATTCTTATTTACTAAAATGTATTCATTTTAAGTTTGCCAGTCAGTGAGTTTTAGAAATATCCACAGGCTTTTAACCACCAGCACAATCAAGATTTAGAAGACCTCCATACCCCTAAGTTCCCTCACGCCCCTGTGCAGCGACAGTCAGTGCATCCCATGGGATGGATGTGCCCCTTTTAGTTATTTACTAGTTGACAGGCATTCTGTTGTTCCCATATTCTGAATATTATAAACAATGCTGCTATATACCTTCCAGTACACACAATGCCTTGAAAGAACATGTTTTCATCTCTTTTGGGTAAATACCTTGGAGTAGATTGGCTGGGTCAAAAGGTAAATGTGTGTTTATTTAAGAAATTGCCCATCTTTCCAAAGTGGCTCTGTGTATCATTATGCATTCTCATCAGAAATATCTGAGGGTTCCAGTTGCTCCAGATCCTTTATCAGGGTTTTACATACAAAGATGACACTTACTTTAGCTGTATTTTTGTTTTGTTTTGTTGTTTTTGCTTTAGTTTTTCTTTTTTAGCTGTACTTTTAAAATACAAAGTATTTTTCTTTTGCATGCTCACATTTGCAAATATGTATGTGTGTATAGTATGAGTAAACATACACACAGTATTATTACTGGGGCATTGTTTTGTTTATATTCTCCACGTTTATTAATAAAAGTGGTGTAACTTAATACTCCCTTATTACTTCTGATATTACAGTGAATTTCCATGGGCACATTCTCAGAGTTTAGGCCGCCTCTTAGAGAAAGTAAGTAGCAGTTCTTGCAACAACCAAGGGAAGCGAACTGCTCCAGCTGGTTCAAGGACGTGCCTGGAGAGAAAGGCAGAAACTCGAAGGAAATAAAGCTTTGACTTAATAGCTCATTCTGATGTTTGTGGTAGGCATTTATGGATGTAGCTAGCCGTTCTAATGTAATTATTCAACAGTGTGGAAAGATGGAATTGGCATAGCCCCCTGGGCCGTGGTCGGGCTGCGGAAAGCTCCCTCGGTATCACATCCCCAAAACAAACAACTCAGTCACCTGATACTGACTCAGAAGCCCAGGACCATCCCATTTCCTCTCCTTTCTCAGGGCCCAGTTTTCAGAAGCTACAACAGAAGGACAGCATCTGAGGAAGCTCAGTTCACCGGCTCCAGGTGGCACAGGGTTTGGAAAAGCCTTGAGACTGAGCAACTACTCCGCTTTCCTCCTCCTCCTCCTCCTCCTCAGAGAGCTCGGAAGGCTGGGGGCCCCTTTGTCCTGCATAGGACTTCCCAATGCCCCTTTCCTTAGGGAACCATGCGCTAGGAGCCTGGTTCCCCACCTCACCCATTCGAGGAGCTCGCTTTCCAGTCCAAACTTGACCTACCTGGGGCCCACAGCTTCTCTGCTGCCTCAAGCCCCCACCAAGGAAAATGGAGACATCAACCCGAGACTCGGTGCTATTACTGTTTTATTTCCTCTCACAAATAGGGCTTCTCTTGCTAATAGTGCACTTTCTGCTGCTGCCCCTTGCCTTCCATTTTCAATCCCCCCAACTTCCCACCCACCCAACCCAAGTCTTACACACATTCTCTTACACTGTAGTCTGGCTGGAAAGACAAAATATCTGAGTAAATAAGCAACATTGATTGTGCATTCTTCACACACACTGCTCTGTGTAGGGTGCACACCTAAGGTTCTAGCCAGCGCTGAACTCTAGTACAGATGTCATTCCAGACACTCCCCGTGTTAGCAGGAGCCCGTGCATCCTTCAGAAAGGAAAGAATTCAGGCTGATCATCTTTCAACCTAAAAATTACCTTGTTCTTTAAGCTTCTCAAGCAGGCCAGCCTTTCTCAGCACTTTGGGGCCTTCTTCCACTCCTCCTCGCGGCTGAACAATTAAAAAAGAAAGGATTCGGGCATCATCTTGGTCATCAGATGCACACAATAGCAAATTCATTACTTAATCAGTTGAATAGTGGTAACATGATTTTCTTGAGTTCCTACAGAGCCAGGCCTTTAATTATCACAGCAAGATGGATTGGATTACTCCTATGTCAAATACAAGGGTCTAGAGAGAATCAGAAAGGTTATCTAATGTTCCTTCCCTCGCACAGCTAACCAGTGGCAGAGCCTTGGGGCCTTAGCCCAGTCCTTTGGATTCCAAAGTTTGCGTCTCCTCCTCCCATCACCCCATGCTACCGACTTAGTGAACATTTGTTTTGTGCAAAAGCGCTCTGATAAATGGAGACACTACAATGAAAAGCAGAGGGTTTTTGTCTTTGGTTAACTCACAAACAAAGAGGGGATTTGGATTTTTAACATCAATTACAGCACTTGGAGATTTGCTTCAGAGTAGATACAAGATGTCATAACAACAAAAACAGGATGCTCCTATCTCTGCCAGGGACAGAAGGTGTCAGGCGGAGCAGGCGACATTTCAGCGTAGTGTTGCAACACGAGTTCGGGATGATGGATGGGGTGCTGGAGGAACTTTGTAAACCAGGACAATAGCTTGAGTAAAGGCATTTATTCAGTAATAATTATATATATGTATGTGTGTGTGTGTGTGTGTGTGTGTGTAATTATTAATTTCAGAGAGGAAGGGAAAGGGAGAGGGAAACATCAATGATGAGAGAGAATCATTGATCAGCTACCTCCTGCACACACTACCGGGGATCAAGCCCAAAACCCGGGCACCTGCCCTGACCAGGATTTGAACCATGACCTCTTGGTAACTGTGACCTCCTGATTCATAGGTTAACACTCAACCACCGGCTACCCCAGCCAGGCCAGTAAAGGCATCATTTTGAAGGTAGCATGGGAGACAGCTATGTGCAGATCCTCACAATAGTAAGGTAGGGTTCTACGGGACAAAGCAGGCAACAGGGAAAATCACCTGGCAGTTGACTGAACCCACAAAGACCAACCTGGTATTTCAACTTTTGACCTGCTTAATAAACACAGTGAACAAGAACTCTAGCCTTGCTGTTTTTACATCCGGAAAGCCAGCCCCCTGGCAGATTAGTGACCCTAAAGAAACAGTTCTTTCATGTATCGCTCTGATCCTAACTCCCAACAAGGTTTTTACATATAAGGTTATTTCCTGTTGTCAGAGGAGAAGAGGTGCCAAAGACACACGTGTTGCCTCTAGGATTGGGCTGTGGCACCAAAGCAAGCAAATATTTCTTCCCAGTTAAAATTAGCAGATGACTTGGCCTGGCTGCCAAACACATCCTTGATGTCAATTTCCGTCCCGAGCAGCAAGGGACCCCGCGTGCTCTGCCTGACACATTTTTCTCCTTTACGCCATTCAATTTTCGCCTGGCTCTCCCCAGTCCCACCACAATCAAGGAGATATAACTTCTTCTTTAGACCCCCATAGAGTGCTGCTTGGCTCCAATTTTGCCACTGTTTTTTCTGTTTGTTTTTATTTTTAGATTTTGGTCCAAGTTTCTTTATACCTACCCGCTGCACTGTATTTTGTAGTGTAGGGCTGACACTTAGTAGATGCTCAAAAAATTATCAATTTGATAAAACTCCCTGGCATTTCCCCCCCTTTCCTTTAAAAACATTAGAACACATCTTCTGGGCCCCTTAGTTGACACTATGTTTGCTCTAACACAGTTATTAAATTTTTCCAGAGTAACACTTGCTAGCATTCTTTTTTATTTGTTTGATTCAAATTGCTTCTCATGATTAGTCATATATTGATTTCAGAGTGGGGGGGGAGAGAGAGAGAGAGAGAGAGAGAGAGAGAGAGAGAGAGAGAGAGGCAGCAATGATGAGAGAGAATCATTGATTGTCTGCCTCCTGCATGCCCCCTACTGGGGATCAAGCCTGCAACCTGGACATGTGCCCTGACCAGGATCGACCCGTGACCTCCTCACTCAACCACTGAGCCATGTTGGCCAGGCGATTAGTCCTTTCTTATTGCGCGCCCACATTGGGAATCACTTGTCAGCTCTACTGACTTTGAAGCTGAGTCTCAATTGCTAACTGGCCACAAGGGTAAGATCCCTTGTGTATCTAAAGAGGCCTCAATGCAGGTCAGGAACACAGGCGCTGGGATTGAACAATCCTGTCTGGAATCACACACTCAAGGCTCTGTGACCCTGAGCAGATTTCCAAACCTCTCTGAGCCTTAGTTAACTCAACTGTAAAATAAATATAAAACCTACCTCATTTTTTTGCCACTACCTCCCTCCTACCTCCCACTGCCTCACAAGAGGGTGAGGTAGGAGAGATTCCTTTCTCAGACTCAACCTTCTAGTCATTTGCCCTCTAAACCTCTCCCTTGCTTGTCTGTCAAACTTTTACTTCTTTTAGGCAAGGACAGATGCTTATATGTTGGCCATTTTTTTTCCCTCTACACTATGGCTTAGTGTAGAAAAATATCTCTTTGTGTCCTTATTATCATGAGACAATAAGCTTCATTATCACTGGGCCATGTTTTAATGGAGGAAGGGCTGTAGTTAAAAAGAAAAAAGAATTAACTGAAGACAGAAAATGCATCAGGCTATATCCCCTAGAGGGGCTGTTATCATCAGCCTAAGGCAGGGGTGGGCAAACTTTTTGACTTGAGGGCCACAATGGGTTCTTAAACTGAACCGGAGGGCCGGAACAAAAGCATGGATGGAGTGTTTGTGTGAACTAATATAAATTCAAAGTAAACATCATTACATAAAAGGGTACAGTCTTTTTTTTTTTTTTTTAGTTTTATTCATTTCAAACGGGCAGGATCCGGCCCTTGGGCCGTAGTTTGCCCACGACTGGCCTAAGGCTTTCTGCTGAGGTCCAGGGACCAGCGCATGTTCACACTGATTCCTTCCTTCCTTTCCTCCTGCTTCCTTCCTTCCTTCCTTCCTTCCTTCCTTCCTTCCTTCCTTTCCCTTGCTCCATTTCTTTTGTCAGTTATTTCAATTCTATTTTTGTTAGAACCTGCCCAAGAATAAGTGAGCATATTGTGAAGCTTGCAATTCAGTATTTAAAAGAGCAATTTGTGTGTCAGCAGCATGTTTCCATATTCTGGGAAAGACCTTTGAAGGGTTTCCAGGGAAAGTGAATCTGTATTTGCTGACAGTCCACATGCAATTTGGTTCTCTCACCTCTGACCTGTCCTGATTGGTTTTGCAACAAGAAGCCAGAGTGCAAAGCAAGAGTTCAAAACTAGGAGGAGTGCCCTGGCCAGTTTGGTACTGTGGCTAGAGCGTGGGCCCGTGGACTGAAGGATCTCAGATTCAATTCCCGGTAAGGGCACCCATACCTCATCCCCGGCTTGGTCAGGGCACCGGTGGGAGGCAACCAATGTATCCTCCTCTGCCTCCTCCTCCTCCCCCTTGCCTTCCACTCTCTCTAGAATCAATGGAAAAAATATCCTCACTCCTGGGTGAGGCTTAAAAACAAAAGAAGAACTAAGAGGAGTATAAAACACTACCCAGGTGGGCAAAATAGTTCTAAGAAACCTGCAGGAAACTCCATTTAAAACCACCACCACAACAAAAAAACTTTAGGAGTTTCAATTCACACTTGTCTTATTTGCTCCGCCCCCACCCCCCCAATCCCCATTTTTTTAAGAACAGATACATGCTGAAGTCTAAGGTGTCTGCAATCTCATTATATTTACCAGAATGAGTGTGGCCAGGGCAGGAAAATAAAATACTTTATTTCAATGTTACTGGCATGTTTGGCAATCTGGGAGTTTCATAAATCCATTAGTCCTTTCAGCATTACCAATTTACAGTCAAATTTTCTTTTCTTTTTTCCTCCCTCAAAGAAAGATACACAAGGATTTTACTTGGTCCATGAACTAAGACTTGTATAGAATTATTAAGGCCCTTAAAAATAGGAATCATTCACAAAGATGCATAAAGCCATCATATGGAAGTTATCCAAATTAAAAGAACTCTGAAGTTGACACCAATCTATGACATTTTTCTAGGCATTCATTACATAGCTAAACAAATGTGTTTTCTTAAAAGTCTTTCTCTCTGTATGTATACACAGTAACACCAAAAACAATGAGAGCAGGTGTCGGAGCACGCAGCGGGAACCCTGGTGCTCTGAGTATGTCTGAGTTCTGAGTCCCTGTCTTCTCCTAAATTCTCCTATCCGCCAGGGCTGGTTCCTGCTTGACCCCTGCCCTCGGTACTAATGGTTGGGAACTTAGTCCAAGTTCCTCCTTTACCCTCTGCTCTCTAATAACAGGTGTTGTGTCCGAGCCCCTCTGCCTGGGGCTGGACCTCCTAAGACGCTGGGTCTTAGGTGGAGAAGCCATGAGAGGTTGTGGGTATAAAGAATGAGTCTTTATTGCTGAAGCCAGTGGCCATATAGCCATTAGACAAGAAGATCCTTTACAGCAAAGTTCATACAGGCAGGCAACTGGACACCGGCTGGTGAGCATATATCTTTCCCATAAAGCAGCACCCGTCTCTGTACCCACAGCCATTATCTGAGCAGCCACACGCTGCCTCCTAGACTCACCGCCTCATATGGTAGCAGTAGCTGAGCTCTCTGGCTCAGCAGCTTCTCCTATCTCTCCTGCCCAGCTCTTTCTAGCAGACTTCTTCACACACTCCCTCCTAGCTGCTCTCTCTCCATGCTCCAGCAGACTTTTCACTCCATCCTCAGACAACTCCAGCCAACTAACTTGGTCGGTAACTTACTTGTATTTTATATCATTTACACAAAGGCTTCATGCCAACAGTGGCATCAATAATATTGGCTACTGCAGGGCACAGTGTACCATGTGTCAATGAGTCTTTATTGCTGAAGCCAGTGGCCATATCGCCATTAGACAAGAACATCCTTTACAGCAAAGTTCATACAGGCAGGCAGCTGGATACCGGCTGGTGAGCATATATCTTTACCAGAAAGCAGCATCAGTCTCTGTACCCACAGCTATTATCTGAGCAGCCACACGCTGCCTCCTAGACTCACATGGTAGCAGTAGCTGAACTCTCTGGCTCAGCAGCTTCTCCTATCTCTCCTGCCCAGCTCTCTCTAGCAGACTTCTTCACATACTCCCTCCTAGCTGCTCTCTCTCCATACTCCAGCAGACTTTTCACTCCATCGTCAGACAACTCCAGCCAACTAACTTGGTCAGTAACTTACTTTTATTTTATACCATTTACACAAAGGCTTCATGCCAACAGTGGCATCAATAATATTGGCTACTGCAGGGCACAGTGTACCATGTGTCCTTGCACCCACTCATGGTATCTTGGCATGATTAGGATTTCCAGGCTCAGAATCCTTGAGCATTCCGTCAGGGCACATGCCCAGAGCAGCCTTTGGTCATTCTGGTGTATTGGTAACAAGGTCTTTGTGCTCCCACCGGCCTTGACTATCCGGGGACCTGGCATAGTTCCCACAACATGGAATTCTAAATAAGTAGCTAAAATGCAGAAATAATCCATTTCCATTCAAATAAAAATATTACCTTTTTAAAAATATTAGGGAAAGGTAGTAAATTCAAATAAAATTGGCTGTGGCTGAGATTAGGGGCCACAAAAATAAGTGGGTTTGTGGCCATAATTGTACAATGTTGCAAACCAATTAGACAACTTTAAACTATATACTATTTCAAGGCCAGGCTGTCTCAGGAAACTTAACTAACCAGAAAATAACACCTTGCTAAGTGTAAAGCCTGGAACTTTCCAATAATCCCAACTGTTCAAAGGAAGGCTGTTTACTCACCTGTCCCTTTGAGAAAGGAGCTCCGATGACCCCTATGGATTTTGACTTAGAACTCATGCTCTGATGTTCCTGGTCACTGCACCCGCGGTCTCCAGCCAGTCACACGGTCTGCAACCCTCAATGACAGGAGACACATATTGTTTCCACTTATAATTGGGCTGAATCTGTTTATCTTATTCTAATAAGGAAGATTGGCTCCACCTACTGAACCAAAAATGACAGTCCACGGGAAGTCCAGCAAGTTCTTCCTGTGTGGAAGAATTTGGGTTCGTAATTCAGGGAGATTATTCATGTCCCCAATTCACAGCCATTTGACAAGTCATCTGGGTTAATACCTTGTCTAGTCACAATCTTTATTTCCTAATCATAATACTTGCTCTAATCTAAAGAAGTCATCATTATCACATAAACGGTGCCATGGCTCCAGCTGTACTAACTCAGGGAAGGGCACTTACTTCCTCCAGGGCTTTGAGTCCTTCCGTGTCAGAGAAGGGCTGAGACTGACAAGATGATCTCCTCACATCCCTTCAAGCCCTACAATCCTGAGTTCAAGTTTCATACACTGGGATTAATGGTTAATCAGTGAGACACATCCTACACCACAAGAGAAAACATATGACTTCCTTTTCTGCTTATTATTAAAGGAAATCGTAATTGCCTCATTAATAACTCGGAGGTGCTGCCATACTGATTTTTAAATATGGTGTGTCTATACTAATAAAAGGGTAATATGCTAACTAGACCAGATCGACTGGACATCTTCCAGACGTCCAACTTCCTTCCAGACAAAGCCACGGTGGCGGGGACTGAGGCAGAGGCGGTTAGGGGCGATCAGGCTGGCAGGGGAGCAAGCAGTTAGGGGGCGATTAAGTCGGGGGGGGGGGGGAGCCAGCAGTTACAGGGCAAGATCAGGCTGGCTGGGGAGGGCAGTTAGGTGGTGATCAGGCAGGCAGGCAGAGTGGTTAGGTGCTATCAGGCAGGCGAGTGGTTAGGAGCCAGCGGTCCCAGATTGTGAGAGGGATGTCCAACTGCTGGCAGCTGGACATCCTCTGAGGGGTCGCATCAGGCTGGCAGGGGAGCAAGCAGTTAGGGGGCGATTAGGTCGGGGTGGGGGGGAGCAAGCAGTTACAGGGCAAGATCAGGCTGGCTGGGGAGGGCAGTTAGAGTGGTTAGGAGCCAGCGGTCCGAGTGGTTAGGTGCTATCAGGCAGGCGAGTGGTTAGGAGCCAGCGGTCCCAGATTGTGAGAGGGATGTCCGACTGCTGGCAGCTGGACATCCCCTGAGGGGTCCCAGATTGGAGAGGGTTCAGGTTGGGCTGAGGGACACCCCCGCGCCCCCATACACGAATTTCGTGCATTGGTCCTCTAGTAGGAAAATAACAGTCTTTGGAATCATGATCAAGATATAGAAGTAAAAACAGCCAACAATGAGTTTTATCATGTGCCAGATGCTGTTCTGTTTTATATTATCTCATTTAATCCTTGTACAAACATTATGTCAAGTCTCATCCTTTTTTTTAAGTTTCTGACTTTAATATTAGTCTGACATAGCATTAGTAACCATGCTGCACTGAAACATTAATGGTAAATCTGAATCATGATTTGTTAAATATTACACCCCTGACCCCCATAATATTTAAAATGGTCATAAAGTTAACATTGTATGAGTAAATATATAAGCATAAACAGTTATGGACAGCCTCTTGTATAAATTGCTGTTTAGCAATACACAAACTGCCCAAAGATTTATGCTTACAAGGTAGACGTTCAATTATACCAATAAAACAGCATGTCCTGAAAATATGGGCACATTTTAAGACAATTTTATTAACCATTAATAGTCTCACAGTATGACTGAGTAATAATAAGAACCTACTTTAAAAACAAAATATTTTAATCAGTGTAGTGCATGATTGATTCAACATAGTTCCCAGGGAACAGACCAGTCACTCGATTGTAGACTCCTTCATACCAGCCATCATCATTCTTCTTTATTCC